AGTGAACGACAATGTCGGAATGAAAACTGTAGGTAGTTTGGTGATACTGATAGTGGCCATTTTTATCGATATTTCACACTTGTGCATCGCTGGAGAATTTGACGAATTGATGGAATTTGGTATTTTCATTCCTTTCATTTTATCTTCAAATTTACGCTTTGTATGCTTTATTAGTCTGTTTTCATCAATCTATTTCTAAATTACTTTCCAGTTTATATAAAATTTGAGTTTACATGGGTTCTATCAACTTACAAAGTTTTACTATTGTGAAATGTTCTTACTACAGTGCATCTAATGAGAAAAAGCAGAATTTATAAAGTTTATTCGTTATTTCTTGTCTAGAAGGAAAAGGTGTAATTAATTATCTAATTAAGCTGAAAATTCTCCTTTTTTATTGTCTATCACACAGAAAAGTGTGAAAGACAATGAAGAAAAGCAGCACTTTTTATGTGTCAAAATATATTTAATTAGTGGGATCTTCATTGCTATACTGATATTATGAAAATGCTAAAGATTAATATGAAATATTTAAGAAATTATTTGAACACCGTTTGCAATTTTCAATATAACATTTTAAGCCCATTTAATTTAATGAAATCCTTTATAAAATTAGTTTTATTTCATTGATATCAAATATAATATTAGTTAATTAGTTAATAAGTTTAACAGTTTGATTATTATCATAGTTAAGCTTTTATCAATCCATACAATCTATTTTCAGATACCATACCTCGTCGGTTCGAATGCTTTTCCTGTATGTCACTGAGCTATCAAGAAAGTTGGGAACATCTGCAATATATCTATACGGCACCTAAGGTTTTCTAATGATAATTTTACGTATTAATTCTTAAACTCTTAAACTCAATAAAAGCTTCAGATGAACTTCGTATTCTTAAGTTAAAATGATCACATCATTAGATGCCTTTGTTAATAAAGTTCAAGAGGACTTATTAGCTTTTTTCTATACATGTAACAGCATGAGGAAGGGAAGAAAAAGTTATACACTTCAAAAGTAGAAGCTAAGGAAGAATTGAAATTGTAAAATTAATCAGCCATAAAGGTCTTTTTCCTGAATTTTGCTTAATTTATAGAGAGAATCAAGCAGTTAAATGATGTATTAAAATTAAAGAACACTTAAGTGACAAATTTCTGAAATTGTTATTGCGATATCAATCTTCCTTCCAGATTTTAATGTAAGATAAGCAAGGTGTGTTTAATTACGATATTCAGATGTTTACGAATCGATGTAACGAGCCACAACTTTCAAATCATATTCCTACTGTAATTTGTTCAACAATGTGTGTTAATTTACTCGAACCGGATGTTGAAGCTGGTTTGTTGGCGGTTATTTCTTGATCACTAAATTGACATAACAGATTTATGACGCATGACCACACTAGATTACTGGCATCAAAACTAATGCAAAGAGAGCCTTTATGGGTTAACTAATAGGTAAAATTGTATGGACAAGTGACATCCTCGATTGACACGTATAGTAATATATACAGAAATCAGTCGAAGAAAAACGTCACACATTACTTGTTTCCTTTTGGATTTCAAAATGATCATAGCTTTTCATTTTTTAAAGATTATTATCCTCTTGCTGCACGTGATTAGAATTCAAACAATACTGCTGAGAACTGGAGAACAAATATGGAAATAAAAATTTTCTCTTATAAAATTTTCTCTTTTAGTGGTATCTTCTAAGCTTCAATGTTTTTTTTTTTTTTTCTTTCTTTTTTTAGGTGTATTTATCGGTTTTAAATTTATCCGTGGCTGCATGGATCGAGTGTTAAGGAGTGGTTTCAATGAGACCGCAATAAGAACGCATCGCTTTCAAGCGGTAAGTTTAGCTTTTTAATCATCATGAAAAATTGAGAGATGAATATCTTATAGAATTAGAAGGACAGAAATAACCGTTTCTGTTTAGGTGAATCAATGTCGAAGTTTGCCCCGTGCTCATTTGTACAATCTGGACCGCAGACAACTTTATCCGGTATTCGGTGATGTACAATTGTGTACTTGTTATGGAGACAGATGCAACGGCTTATCGGATACTGTCAGCAGTTCAGATTACAGTACGCTACTATTGTTGATATGCTTTATTGTCTTGCTAAGGATATGAAAAACAGACGCTAGTTGATCAGCCATTACTTGTTAAGGCTGAAATTTTCTTATTTTCTTATAGTTAATGTTAGACAAATTTAATTTAAAATGTTAAGGTAACTAAAGATTTCCTTGAATGAATCTAATGTTTATGGATTCTGGAAAAAACATGAGACTATTATTTCCTTAGTGTTAGTGAACACTCGTAGAATGGTGCCTTGGTTCAACTGAATTTAATAATAAACATATCGATGACAGCTTCAAACATCAGAAAGCATTCGAAATGAACAGCTCAACATTTCTTCAACTCCTATTCACCAATGTTAAAATCAATCACAGTATATTATCTCTCAAAAATTGACAGAAAATTCAGTATGCAAAGCTATTTTTAAAATATTTACTGATTTAATTGACAAATTGCGGAAACACTTCGTCACTACCCATAACCATAACCAAACATCTGACACATTTAAGCGCACCATACGGATATAAATGTCAGATGAATCGATCGCAGGGAGACAGGTTCACCCACACATGCGTCATCTCATAACACTATTTTCTATGTCACATGAATTCGTATGGTACAGGTCGTTTTACATCACTTTTACATTACGGTCGGAATCAGACTATGTCACTTTGATCACATGGTTTCAATAACGGAGTTGGTTTTATTATGGTTGACGTATGTGCTAGGAAAATTTGTTGCTGGTGCTATGTTTTGCACAAGAACTCAGTTTTTGAGGAGGAGGAGGATTATTGATGAGGACGACGGTGCAGAGAATCCAAAAGGATTTAAATCGTGTTTAAATTTGTGGGTATGTAAGGAACCGCGCGGACTTATCAATACACTTTGGGAAGAATCTGATAATACAATGCAAACTGTTCAGTGTAAAGGAAGCGTTATATCGAATTATCTATAAATGTTTACTTCTAAAAGAAGTATAAAAGAAAATGAAAGCGATGCCAACTGAACGTGTGATTCCGTAATACATAGCTGCAACGACTCATTCTAAAAAGACTTTGCGTTCACTACTTGGGTATGTACTGAATACAATTCGAGTACGGTTCCTTCGAGGTACTTCTGTAGCTGTTTATGTACTTGTATATATATTATTTCTGAAATTAAAACATCTGCGTAATCTTGAAGTGCTTTTGGTTAACAAGGATCAGTGCTGGTACTGTTGCTACTTCATTGTAAGATAAAGGCAAGCATTGCTTTACTGAGTTTAAAATGGCTTTGAATTGTCAACAAGTTGCCTACGTTAGTTCCTTTCTTATTGCCGTCACGTGATATGGCTGATTGTAGTAAAACAGAACTGGTATGAAGTAGACGATAAAATCAAGGTGACTGGAACCGTGACTATTTTGTGTTTTTTTGATGGCTAAAATTTTTTTCTGTGTGGCTGTAGTTTTTGTTTTTTGGCTGAAATGCGCTACTTAAAAGCATTTGTAGTTGTAATAACTAGACGGTACAAGTCGTAGTGCACAGATAATTGCTTTTGGTGTTAGATTAAACAAATTTAACACTTTTACCAGAAAGATTATCAAAAGAGATCCCTAGTTTTTCGAAGGGGTCATTTTATTAGTTAGCTACTGAAAAAGGAGTTAGCTACTGAAAAAGGAATGATGAGTGGAATGAAGAAGGAATGAAGCTTCAATTCCTAACTGAATCATTTATTGATTGATGATGTAACTGGGTGAACTTTTCTATTGTGATGTAGAGATGCTAAGAAAAAGCGTTAAAGGTATTCCTGATACCTACATGTTTGGTTTTAGCTGATCACAGAATGTCATTGAGTAAATCTGAAAGGGATGCTGATTCCATTCTGGCGAAAACTTGTTGCAGTAATAAAGGGATTAATAAAGGCCTTTTTTTTTGTTTCTGCATTCTTTGGAAGGCTCTGTTTAAAAGAAGAGATCGATATGGATAAAATGAGTGCCATTACTGGATGTTCTTTAAGGAAGGAAGATGTATTTTGCATTGAAGCTATTGGAGAATCGTACATATCCAGATGGGATGATTGCGTTTTTGCATTTCTATGGTTGGTAGCAGGCGATTGGGTGTTTCGGGCGGAAGCGTCACATGAACCATCACTTTTCTTAACATGAGCAACAGGAAACTTTCTGTACGGTTCAAGATATAAACGAATTTTTTTTTTTTATGAAACATAAACGAAGATTTATGAAATAAAGATTTATCTAAAATTGTTGAAAACTAATTAAAAGAGTCGTTCTACTCATTACCGTTCTGTGGTAAGAAAGCCGTTCGAATTAAAACTTGACACAGCTGTATGAAAAGTGTAACAGAGTAGTGGACTTATAATTGCATTTGAATTCATTTGCAGAGAAAGCATTGCCTATAAAAAGTACTACCTACTTAATATGGACCAGATTTCTTGAAATAGTCGAAGTTAAGAATATGTACATTAACAATTGTTATTTCTTACCAATTCGGAATGCGTTTACAGACTACTGAAAAGCTGTACTGAAGACTTTCTTAAAATATGATCTTTCAGACATTTTGCAACGAGTTTAAGTAACTTGAAAAGAGGAAAAAAATTTATGAAACATACTGAAGAACACATCACTAATATTAAGAAAATGATGCATACTTTTTCCTCGGCAATTAACTCAGCGACTTCTTAACTTAAGCACCTTACCACTATGTAAAAATGACAACATTCGGACAGTTTAGTAATTTGAGGTTATACAGTTTGGAGCTATCGATTACATCACTTAGGAAGTAGTAAGACATGAGGGTATCATAATTTGAACATTGTGAAACATTTTTGTGTTGTTGCTATAGTAATTTCTCATTTGTGTTTTCTTGCGTAATGTTATGTTAATCTACTCTTCGGCACTAGTACTAACATCAATTATTTTTATACTTGCAGATGACGAAATGCCCGGAAGTAATAACACTTGATAACAGCGATGACGACGATAGTGATGGGTACAGTTCAGTAAGCCGAAATGTAGGGGCAACTGCTTCGGTTATTCGTGCGAAACCTCTCAGTTTCTCAGCACTACAAGTCAGGGTGGTTTTTAGTTTTTCATCAGTTATGACTGTTTCCTTTATGGACTAAATAGCATTTGAAGGCTCAGAGAAGATTTGTCCATTTTGTACAAGTACTGATTTTTTAAAAGAAATTTTAGGTGAATAATCGTACTGAATATTGTAACTTTCTGTTGTACTGCTTATGTAAATTAATGACTTAGGAAATTTAGCAGTTAAGATTGCAGAAAGGGTGAAGTAGTTTTGCTAGAGCAGCTGCGTAACTTCAGGTTGACTAGTTAGTCGTTAAGTTCCAAAAAGCAGTTTGCATGGACTCGTTAATTGTTTTTCAAATAAAGTTTATATCAGTTGATTAAGTAGCTCATAATAAGCTTTCGGTAAAGTGCTAATGAAAGAATGATGTGTTCAAGTTACAGCAGTCTTCAGTCAGCAGACTACCATTGCATACTACAGCTCCCCGTCGAGCAGAGTTTTGCCGAATCAATGTTTCGGAAACTCCTGCACCACTAATATTGCAAAAAGTCTCGTCAGCTTCACATTTGGAAATTCGAAATCATGCCATATCGGACGCGGAAAATGATGTTAGTTATACAACTTTATCATTGTCACGGGAAGAAAATAGCTTGGATTCGTATTGCTATGAAAGTTATGATCCAAAAGCACCACCATTTGAAGCACAACAATTCAATGTCAAATTCCGAGTAGGTTCATTTCTTATTTAAATTAAACTATTATTTATCGAAATTGAGAATACATAATAGTATCTGATGTATCTTTATCCATTAGCCATCGACAAATTGAGTAACGGATGGAGAGCACTTCGATTGATTTTGCCTGGAATTCATTCATAACTTACCACAAATAAATGTCTTGTACAAATTATCAGATAGAAGAACTAGCAAGAAAATTTGCTTTTGCTTCAATTATCAGTTTGATTATATGAATGTTTTCAGTGTTCCGTTGGAAGCTGTAGAATGCTGCTTTCAAATAATGTAAGTTTCATGTTCCATCTTTGGGCACATTTAACTGAGTTCAGTTATGGCAGTAGTCCTAACTGCCCTCGAGAAATGCATCGCTTCTGCCGTTGTCCTCAATGCCTGCATTTATTCCCTACGGCATATCGTCTGCAAATCCACTATAATAATGTTCACAGTGCAACGCCATCCTCATCCACATGTAAAATATGTGAAATCACTGTGGATGAAGTACGTTTGTATAACTTTATTTTTTTTCAGAATTCGTATTTTTTACGATGCTATACTTCATGTTTAAAAATGTGATACTCAGTGCTATTAATGCTATTAGTTGCAAGTTCCTAATTCAGCTTATAATCTTAGAATCCTTACAAAACTCGAGTCTGTATGATTTATTGGAATATTGGAAGTATTTATTCATTCCATTATTGTAATAGAAGGGCATCGTTAAGAAAATTCTCTGTGCTTAAAAAGTCAGCATTTGGTTGATTATAAACAAAACTGGTTTGCAACTTTGGTATGTTTACAATTTTCTTTCCTCTCATTCAAATCTCTTTTAACCGAAAATGTAATTATTGTGATTTCAGGGCAAGCACCGGCAAATTCATGGCGATTTCGATGCTCCATTTCATTGCAGGAAATGTCGATACAGGACATCGATGAGAACCCATTTTATAGATCATTTTGTTCGATTTCATTCGAATACACGCACTCTGTTGTGTCCGTTCTGTCTTTACTGCCATGTTATACCAAAAGACAATACGTCATCTGTGATAAGTGAACACGAATATGTTAAACATTTTTTGCTACATCAGGAAGGTCAGATATTTCAAGAATATGAGCAAATAATATTAACGTAATTGTTCTATATAAATCCCTACATTATTTAATATCAATTAATTGCACGATTTCTAATAAATTGTAGCTGGTAAAATGACGATAATCTTTCTAGTTTTAGAAAACTATGGTTGTGATCAGTGCTCACTGAAATTCATACGACATGCTGATAAAATTGCTCATCGAAGAGAACATACTCAACCAAATCTGAAATGGATTTCAAAAAGTGTGCAGGTACATACAAGACGAAAGGTAAAAACTGAATTAGGATTTTTACACTGTCCATCTTTACTTGGTCCCGTTTCACCTTAATATTTTATTCTTTCTTGACTTAAAGAAAAGTGGTTATTTTTCTTAATAAAGTTTCATACAAAAAATTTTCGACTAGATTAGTTTTGGTTTTATTTCAACCAACCTTTTATAAATCTTTCTCTATCAAGAGTATTGTTTTTTTTAAAGGGCCGTAAGTTATGGTCAAGAAAAAAGAAGTGGAAATGCATGGAATGTAATGAAGGGTTAAATGATGTGTGCGAACATTTCAAACGTACATATTATTGTTCTTGCGGTTATCGTACAAACTGTCACGTTGCGTCACAACGACACAAATTCATCAAGTGCAAAAAGGAACGAGGAGGGATGACGAGGCAAATTTAAGCTTTATCATTATTCTTACAAAGCAGCATCATAAATAAATTGTGAAAAACATTTGTGTTGTTGTTATTGTTATTTCAACTGCCAGACACATTGCAGTACTTATTTGGTTTGTGTCGAGTAATATATATTGAATGATATAACTCCGAATTTTGCTTATTGTAAGCGTTTCTTCTATAACTCTCTTTGTTGCATTTCGACGCTTCATAAATTTTGCTGACTAAGAGAAGATTCAAAAATATAAATGATATTTCACTTATTTCTGAACAAGAATCTCTAATGTAAGGAATAAATTTATTTATTTATAAACTTGCAAAGTAGTTTTTATTATAATAAAGGTTTGTAGCAATTTAAACTACTGTTTTAGGGATTCATTAGTTCCCTGTTTCAGAGCTCAGTTGTTACCTTCATTAGTTGTCTGTAATCGATGTAAACGTGCATCATGTATTGAACGAAACATCTTGGACCATGTGCTTGATTGCAGTGGAGGACGTTGTGTTATTGTTGATCTGAAGCAAGAAAAGAGTAATATTCTCAGCCAATATAATGATGAACTAGAGGTTAGTATCATCTTATGTATTTTTACTTTATACTGCGTCTTATTTTTGGTAATTTAAATTAAAAAAAAAAAAAGAAGTTATGGAAGAACATCCTTTTCTCAAGTTAATTTTATATGAATTGATAAAAGACTGGTTTTCTGAAGATTCAATAAATTTTGCTCGTTATTACGTCACATGCTGGATGATTTGAAATAGCTCCTCATTTCCAAACCGATGCAGAAAGAAAAAGAACAGTTAAGAATTGGCTAGCTGATTAGAAAATGCTTTGTGATATTTAAAACTTTTGTCATGTAGATGAGAATTTTTGCTATTCGTCCGGAGGAAAAAGCAATAAAGCTTGGTAATGGTGTTGCTTCGTTAGACTTTCATAATTTTTGTCGTACACGAGATCAAAATTCTTTGTCGCCCTCTGTTGTCAAAGCAAACGTGGAACTGAACAATGCTCGTCTGCATATTTTGTAAGCTTTTCGTACTATTTAGGTCATGAAGTAAAAATAGGCTTCTAATAATATCAGTTGACAATAACGATGCTTTTTATTTGCAAACTATACATTTGTGTGTTTAAATCCAAAGCAATCGACAGACATGCATTGCATTTAGTTGAGGAGGACACAATTCAAACATAAGTAGTTGAATCTTTTATAATCATCACTTTTTTCACTTTCATAGTCCTAAAGAGACTTTGAACTCTCCAGAATCAAAGTTGTCGAAAGAATAAAATATTTACAGGAAGAAGATTTGTCCGAAACCGCTGTTTTCTTTTGCCGATATGCTCAACTGTTCTTGATCATCGTTTCTTCATGTACTTTCTTTGAATTTGTATTATCAGTCATTTATTGCTCATATGTTTGTTTTTTATCACTTTATAAAATTTCGAGTTTTAGTTTTAGTAGCATGTAACTCAGATCTCGTTTTTTTTTTTCTTTTTTTTTTAAAAAATCATAATGAAATGATTACAAAAATCGATAATTTCACCAGTTATACGTAGGTCTCAATAACGTCATGAATGGTGTTTTTTGTCTTATTACCTCAGTCTTAATATCCAGGATCTTGCAAAATATGTATCAACTGGGAAAAAAACCTTTGGTTTAATAAATATTTATAATTGCTTTTAGAACCTTTAATAGTACACCGCTCAATCCTGTGCATTTGGCAATTGTTTTATGTCATTATCTGGTTGGTGTTATTTCTACTAAATGCTGTCCAAAAGATCTGTTACATTCCGATCTTATGTATCTTTGTTATTTATTATAATGGAAATGTGAGATCTATAGACTTATATTGCAGTACACCAAATTGGTTCACTGTTTAATTTATGTGGTTAAAAATAGCAATGAAGTGAGAATGATATTTCTTAGCAACGAGGTGAGGAACCCATAATATTTCGTTCATTTAGTCGCTTAACTTTTTATTCAAGATCGGAATTGGCACAAAATAATTGCTAACATGTGTAGTGAGAGGAAAGACAAAATTTGAGTAAAATGGAAACAATTAAGGAAAGCATAATGCGGCTATAACTAGTCGATTGAAATGTTCTGATCACAGATTACATCATCATCATAAACCTACAGCTTGAAATTAATCGCTGAAAGTGTTCTTATGTTCTTACGTTGGCGGGTTACACCCGTGGTTTGTGGAGAAACTGTCACAATTATTACTTTGTAAAATAAAAAAGTTGGATCTGGAAACAGCTGCTAAGATTGAAGGAGTTTTGGTCCTTTACTGATGTCTTGTTATGGTAAAAGATATGCATTCCAGGATTAGCTTGTAGCGAATTTATTAAGATCCAGTTATGAGACAACTATGGAAAGTGAGTTATCATCTGATAAATCCAGTGTTCATATTTCGGGGATAATAGGAATGTTTCAGTATCATTTCGTTAGTTGCTACAGTATCACACTTCTTTGTGGACAGCATTATAAAAGCAGTAGGTACGAAGTGCATCTGTACATATTGAAGTCCAAGTTTAGAGGATTAGAAATGAAGGATTGAGGATATAGGGAAGATTGATTGTAGAGTGTGAAGAGCAGTGTTAATAGCTAGAGCTAAATAAGATATTGCTGACAGAAATTTAGCCAAATATGCTTGGCACGAGTAGTGGACAACTGATTTTGATGATTTAGAGGACGCTTCTGTGTTGCTGTGAAATATGAAAATGGAATGCATTTGCTAGTAAAATAGATACTCGAGGGACAAGAACACAGTTTTTAATATTTTTACGGTAGAATGCACCAAAAAGCTTTAAACGCTTCGTGTAATTCATTCTTTCCCGAAAATTATTTCATGAATTAATGAACGAAAATTGTAATGAACTTGAAAATTAGTTAGATTGGAAATCAGTTGTCTTTATGAATAATTATTTTATATCATATCACTTTACTGCTTCACATCATATTTAAGGAAATATTTAAACGCTTTCTATCAAAAATTTTCAGTTTTACAAATGGACACTTACGCGTGACAGTAGCAAAATTCAATCCATTTAGCTGATATTTTGATGTGTAATACAAAAAGATTCTGAATATTGGATTCAGAATAACACTCGTTACGAATCCAACTTTTTCTCTACCCTAATTTTAACATCCATGCACTTATTTTCTACTTTCTAGTATTTTATAGTAATTAATAATGATAATAAAACTGACTACAAAAATTTTGTTCCATATTATGATTAATTTTATTCCATATTATGTTTTGAAATTTAGAACATCTATAAAAGTTGCAACAATTCGTTGAATCATAGTGATAAATGAATGCGTATTAAATATCTATAAATTCGTAGCAACATAACCGATGATTCTATTTTGAAACAAAAAAATTGTTTTTTCATTACTTTGAATATACGAAAACTTTTTTGGTATTTCCTGAAGTTTTAAAAAAAGAAATTTCCATCGGTCATAATATTATACTTTTCTCCTTCTTTTTTTCGAATTATGAACAATCAGTTATTTGGACAGCATTACTGTTTGCATCTAATTTTTGTTGACAGTAGTTTTCCAGTTCCGTTAATTGTGAGATTCTTTCATACATGTATTTCGTTAATGGATACCTGTCGAGATTTACATTCTTATCATAATTCATTAATGAATTGAAAAATGTGCAAGTCATCAAGTCAACCCATGTAATCTGAAATACATCTCAATATTAGGATAGCAGTTTAGTTCCATTTCATTCAGCACTTTGTTCTTATATTCGGACAACTGAAAAAGTTGAGCATGAAGAAGTCTATCATCGTTTGTGAATCATTCCTGTTTCGATTCAAACCTTGCACTTGAGTTATTTGTTCAAAGAAGATTAATTTTTTTTATCTTGTTTAAAGAAAATTAATTTTTTTTTACCTCTTCTCCGATCAGATAGGAAGTGTTGTTCTGAGTCAGTTGTTTCTCGATAATAGATGCAACTCGATTATGAACTCCTTTAAGCTTTATATCATCAACTATTATAATCTGGAATTGTTGCAACCATTATGGGACAATAAAAACATTTATGTTATCAGCAGGAAAATAGACCTTAAACAGTATACTCAGCTCTTTAAATTCTTCTGGGTACGTGCATTTTTTACAAAATGTGGCAAAAAATTAGTAACAATTTATAATTTTATAAACTTACGATTTCTCTCAGAAAATATAATTTGGAGTTTAAAATCAATTTAAAAGTACTAATTTAAACAACTAACATTGGTATAGATGTTGTTATCATCATTCGTTGATCCGAAAATTGAAACCTGAGCCTCAAGGAGCAAATCAGCAAACATATCGAGCAATGCGTCACATGTTGCGTTTTGTCCGGAAAGTCCTGTCAAATCACTCTTTATATTAAGAAAGAAGAGATAGATAAATGATTTTAGTCAAACAAAAACTAATTTAACCTTCTTTCAATCATAATAAATATAGTGAAGCAATCTATAGGAATATAAAACAAATTTCCTATTGGTTAGCAATTGATAAACTATAAAAAATTACTAATTTATCATATGAAATTGTCTTTTCTAACGATCCTTAACACATAAAGAATAGAAATGAAGCATAATATAAAGAGTGATGTAACGCTGGGAGCTCTTTGTGTCCATAATAACTTACCGAACCTCCAGGCCAAATGACGACAAATGGCAGTCTGTCCACTTAACTTGACATCATCTATTTCCAGTATCGGCAGTATCCCAAGTGCAGTCTCTGTAAATTTTTTATTTTTAAGGTTTCTTTTCTTTTCTTGTTTGTATTTCTAACATTTTCTAAACCAAACTCAGAGATGTTGCATTTTGTTCGGAAAGTCCTGTTAAACTTATTTAAATTTGGTAATTTTTAAACGAATTCTTAGGGATAAAAATTCACATCTTATTCCTCTTCCTTCTCTTCTATCTCTTAATATTTATTATTTCAATTTCAGGTATTATTTCAAGTACGCTGTCTCCTATCTCTAAGTTGATATCATTTCTTTATAATACTATTTCTTCATCAAATTTTTAGGTCATTTTAAAAAAATTTTTAAATTTCAAACCATTTCTAATGACATTCCATTGTTCTTTCCCACTAATTCTTATATCTTCATACGGGACATTTGCAATCTTAAACATCAGCCTAGCTAATGTGCCAGTTCGTTGGTCATTAGAACTGTATAGTTTAAATTTCGGGAACAGCATCTGTGGATCAATTGTATTTAGTTTCATAAATAATTAAGAAAGTAAAGGGAACTAATTAATAAATGTGACGACAACAGTACTGATAATGTCATCCGTTTCTTCACAAATCTGGAGAAATGCTACGAAAAAAAAAAAAGAAATTTGACATAGCAACTCCACTGAATAAAATATAATGCATAACCCAAAACTTTATTCCCATTTCATCATTCATCTTTCATTAATTGCTTCTTTCTTCTCTTAATTCGTGAATTAAGAAATTTATAAATTTGTCCTGTGTTTCATTCAGTTCAATGTACTTCATAAAGAAGCTCAAAATTTTAGTTTGAAGGAAGTAATTTTATCATTTCAAAATGATCTTCAGTGAAATATTTCAGGAATTCATACATTTTAAAAGAAATAAAAACATTCGCAGCACTTCTGAGGAATTAGAAGAACTTTAGCTCCAAGAAAGTAACCATTGAAAACATTCATTGCTTGGGATCAAATCAACTATGCTTATCAGTGATAATTCCTATAGACGAGCTTTAAGGAAGACATAAGAAAAGAAATTCACGGAATATTTCGAGAATGAAAAGAAAAAAAATATTTCATTGATTGTAAAATTGGATACGAAAATGGATCAATAAAATTTACGAACGCATCAATGAAAACAGCGATAAATTTCGAAAAGGATGAAACTGAAAAAAGTAGAATCGATGGCAGTGGAGAACTGAAGGAGAAGACAGGTCTACTAGGATGAAACATAATCGATCATCTGACGAACGAATCTATTTCTGCTTCTGTTGCACATTGCTTTTTTGCATTGAAATGTGATTGAATGTGCTCGTCCGACATTATGTTGTCATTACTTCCGATCGCTTCATCACACATACTTTTCAGCTCATCCATATTACTGTTCTGTGGTAAAGGAATAGTGAACGCACTGGAAACATTTTTATTGTCAAACGATCAATTTCACAAAAGGGAAGTAGTAAGCTATTTAGATTACTTGTAATGGTGGTATAATGTCTGACAGTTGATCGACATTACTTTTGATTCTAATTAAATCATGAATTACTGTCAAAATTAGCTACAAACAATTATGTTAGTTAGTAATTATTTCTGCTTGTAAAAAACTTAGAGAAAAGTTAGTGAAAAAGCATGGAAAT